GCCATCTGAGGCCACTTGACACAGGACACTTGGGTGTTAAATAGCTGCAGAAAGCAGTGACTAAAGGCAGCAGTCCAAGCTGCGGTGGGACACAGGTCATATGTGGTGGTGGTGTTCTCAGGACAGAAGGGAAGACAGATGGTATTCCCAAATGGAAAAGGCCAAGGCCAGAACTAGGAAAACGGAAAGCTTTAGCTATCTTCTGGCTTTACATGAGGATTCAGAAGCAGCAAGGTATATAAGAAATATTTGTAGGAAAATCAACCTGAGACCATGCTTTGGAATGAAGATAGCAAAGAGTGGAAACAGATTACCTTGTCTTTGTTGCCATCACAACCACTGAAGATGAACATATGATTGTGGATTTGGGGAAGACTTTGCATCTGGGGCCATGGTTTCATCCCTCTTAGGGAGTTTCCCTGGCAGAGAGAACAACTTCTGTAAAACACCACTGGCAATACATAACAATTGTAATACTGTGATTAGCTGGAGTTAAATGTGCTGTTTAGGAATGGCTTGGGTAGTCCTATAGTCTGCATGTTTTTTCCTAATATGGTTCTTTGGGAGACCAAATACAGGTTTATCTCTTCCTCTGTTCCTCCCATCTTTAAAAACAAGTATAGCTATCTTTTTTTCTCCCAAGACATTGAGTAAAAATAGATATTAAAAGTTATTAATCCAGCCTGGTGAGGAAGGTGATACATGACACATACAGAAAGGATCAATAGTGCTCTAATCAAGAAGAACTTGGATCAAGATTGTCACATTCCTGAGCTCTTTCCTTGCATCAGTTGGTCATAATCAGTGAATTAGAACAAACAGATTGTTAGATCCCAATCTTGTCTCCAGTTTTTAAACAACAGTTCACTCTAGTGTATTATAAGATGATACCAAAAGGTAAGCAATGAAAAGCAGTTTGTGCACAGTTGCAGTATGAATATAAACAGAGACAAAATTAGCAAATCAAATAGAATAAAAAAGCAGTAGCAAAGAATAAACAGAAACATAAAAGAAGCCATCTGGAATCAAAGATGCTCAAATGACATGGTAGGAAACTGAGGCAGACAAAAGCAGAGATTACACTCTTAAATGAAAGTGTTAGGGATATTATTGCTTTAATTCTCTTTGAATATGGCTATGAAACTGCAGCTGAGAAGTGTGAGCAGTAATGTCTTTTGACAGTTACTCCAGAGGCTTCAAGTTACATGATTCTCATATCTTAAATGAAACCTTTGTCATCCACGGACATGTCTGTTTCCTTTCTGAAAGTGTTCCAAGTACTGACATTATGTCAGGTACATTAAGTCTGTGCCCCAATTTGTCATTACCCTGAATAATAATGCAGAATATTTGGTTCCCCATTGTGCAGCTGTAATTCCTGTTACTAAAGATGGGATCAGCCTATCCATGGAGAAAATGAAAGATTCTATTAAGCTGAAATTACAGTCACTTTATTAATTTTGTGTGTGTGCAAATTAATTGAATCTATCTATAATAGTTTAATTATGAACAATTTTTTTAAACTGTGGGTCATCAATAAATGTACTCATTGTCCATTATGTGTCAGAGCACATCAGCAATACACACAAAAACCACCTGTAACACCTATAGACATTCATAGTTTTAGAAAAAAAAAAGTCACATACAGAAAGAAACACGAGTAAGGTGCATTACAGTTCTTTAAAGCATTGATATATAAAGATTGTTAAAGTCACTAAAACCCTTCCATACTTTCACAGAAGGAGCTAGAGCTTCTTTGAACCCAGCAGTTTTGGAAAAGACTCATAAAAGCTGAGAATACTGTCTCAAGTTCATTAAATGAGGTTTGCCTCATAAATGAGGAACTTTATCACAAGGCATAGATAACCTGAAGCATTAGGATGGTGTTGGTGTGTTGTGTGTGGATCTGTGTAACAGCAGGTGCAAATCAGTGATGCACTAGTTAATCCCTTAAAAAAAGATTGCAGAGTTTGGAAGGAGAAGAATGATGCAAATTTTAAAATGAAGTTTTAAGGGCAGATTATGCGTTTTCCATTGAAACAAATAAGGGATAATTCCCTTGTAATTACATGAGGATGAATTAATTACTTTCTAACAAACTCAGATAAAAACTTGACTCCATAATGCCTCCTTCTCTTTTCTTAATTAAAAATGTCCAGGAACGTTTTCATAATATGTAGATTTGTGGATTTTTGATATATTTATGTTTTTTTACTAATATGAGGAAGTTGGGGTTACAAATCCTCCCTTTGATGGTGCATCTCATTATGAGCGATCTGTATCAAGTTGTGCATCAACAACACACCTGGAGAGGACTTGAAGTGCCCAACCCTACTACAAAGGCCAGTCCACAGCTTTCTGCTAATTCTGAGTATGGACCAGACCAAAGTGGATTATGTACTTTCCTGATGGTGAACACATGGCTTGAATATGAAATTCATTGTGCTGAGCAAGCTGTTGTTTTGACTACCATTGATTTGCCAGGTAGCTGACTGAGAGCAGGTGAGACAGTTTCCATCTGCAGAGACTCATAAACCTCTCTGTATACTCAGAATTGCTAAAGAACTTCACAAACGTAGCTTGGAACTTCTACAGCTTTCATCCATGCATTAAGTCCTTGGCTGCAAATGTCTTTTTAAGCCAAATATTTGTTAAGAAAACATGGTTAAAAATATGATGAACAAGTATCTATGGAATAGGAGAATTTTATATCAGTAACATGCTCATGTATTTGTTTTTCACTGCAGAGTAGTACTTTTACACCTACAGAATATAGAGGGTCTTTGAATAGATTTCATCTCTGCAATCTCTTACATTGATTGTAATTATGAATGTTTATAATGTATGTACATGGGAGACTATAAATATATGTTACGTATTTGAATGGTGTGTTGGCAATACTTTTAGATCTGCATTCGTTATTAGTGAAAATAATGTTAGTTCTGTGGAAGTACACTGCGTGTGCTGTTACCATTAACGCTGGCTTCATTGATTATCATTTGTATTGTAACAGAGACTGGCAAAAGAATTAATAACGATTAGAAGCTGTGGTGTTCAGAGGATTCATTTTGAATCAAGTTCATTTTTTAGTAACAGATCTGTGCTAAGGCTACATGGGAGCCATTAGTAGGGTATTAATACAGGGCACCTGCACCACCATTAAAACTCGTAGGGGATCCAAAACCTCTCCTGTTGCCATAAATCCAGGCATGAACGGGGTGTTGGGATTGCATCTCCTACTTTAAGGGAGAGAGACGTTTGAATTTATAGTCCCACAGGCCAAGCGTGATGGAGGAAGAAGATTTCACTTCCTTTGAAGTCTAATTATCTGAATCTCACATAAAGGAAGTGAGCTTGACTTAACTACTCTGAACATGATTAAGTTTTCCAGTAAACATGCTGTTCTGTTTGTTTTAGAATGCTGTCTGGTAGTGGGACATAGGGGCTAGCTATAGACATCTCCTTTTTAAAACAGAAATTCTTGTTACGTTTCTTGATATTGCTCTGAAAAATAAGAGATCAACTTTCAAGCACAGGCGCAACAAATAAAGCTACAGGTGTGGAAAGCAGTTTTGCATTTACAACATTTGTGAGGCTTTTTCGGCAGAAACCGATACTCATTTATCATATTCATTATGCCTCTCTATCATTCACCTGGACCCTATATAATTATGTGTTTAATGATCTTTAACCTTCGCATGAACACAGTTTGCTGGAGCTTGACGATTGCTGTAAATTATCATTCTCGTCTGGTAGAAGACAGGAAATGTTACGTGGAGAAAAATACTATGCTTTCTGGCTTAGAATTTTACTTCAGTTGCTCACCATAAAAAGTGCATATGATTTCAGTAAATGCTGTATTTATGGCTTGGTTTTTATTAAGAACTAAAAAAAAATTGCCATTATTTTTGCTGTTATTAATCTTTGAGTAAAAAAGTGATCATCTGCTAATTAGACTCAATTTCAACTTTAAGATTATAAAATACTTCTAGCTCTTCTATTTTTTGTTTAATGTTTAGCCCTTTGTTTTATAGCCTTTCAAACAGCAATATCTCTTCTTTTATACAAAGGACTTCAACTTATTAGAAGAAACAGCTAGTAGTAATCATAAACTTTTTTTCATTTTAACTATTGGCATCTTACCAGCACTGCAAAGGTTTTATTGCTCTACATTAATTTATACCAGAACTGGTTTATGAACCATAACTTCCGTTGGATAGAGTGGGTAAAACTTACACGGGAGATTATACTAACAGCCTCTTCTACTTAGCAAATTAGAGAACCTTTAAGCATTCTCAAATATCTGTGAGGGATATCTAGTTTATCCAGCCACTGCCTTTTTAAAATTTCAGATTATAGTTTTTCACTGTAAGACTCTGTAGTTGGCTGAACTGAGATGTTCCCAATGGCTTTGCTGAGTTGTATATGTCCAGACAATGCTGTGATATGACATCACTGTAATTCAGCTATGAATATTCTGCCAAAACCTTCATATGCAATGTTAGTAACGTATAGATTTTATTCGGGGATCAAACAGATGCTTAAAATATAAAAAAAATGTTTAAAACACAGATTCTGACTTGATCTTGTCAGACTCTGAGACCCTGAAAATAATTTTTTATGTTGCTGACAGCTACACTGCATGTAATCCTGCTCAGAAAGACAAAAATCTTTAAGACTAAAAAAGTTGCATTAACATGTTTTACTGAGCAGACAAAACTGCAGTACCAGCCAACAGGAGAGTGCTGTTAACTTGGATTAACATAACGTAAATTATGCTGATTTTTCCCGAGTAAAAGTTGGTGGCAACTACAACAAGAAAAAACAGGCTGAGTTTTCGGAAAAAGGACTCAGCTGTCACTTGATGACTGTGTGTATGTTCATGCGGATTGGGTTGGAAGAGAGAGCTGGATCAAGTCATGTGTATTCAGAGACAGTTAAAGTGCTTTTAAATAGTTGTTAAAACAACGGTGTGGTCATAATGTGTTGCCCAGCAAAACATGGAGGATGAAGTTAAGCCTCTTGCAGTCAGTGGGAGTTCTGCAGAGAATACACTGGTGGCCCAGGATTTTCTACGTGTAATAAACCAGATCAACTGGAAAATCAGACCTAACTGCCATTGTCCGCTGTGTTCATTGTGCTGTTAACGAGTTTTCTAAGCTCTTACTCCTGAACAGCCAACTTGCAGATATAACTGTAGATGACCAATCATCTACTGAAGAACTTGCAGAGCCTACTTGTGGTATGACACAAAAATCTCCTTGTGCCTTGACTGTAACCAGTGTTACAAGCCTTTTTTTCAACACCTATTTTAATATCCTAATACAGGTTCTGATATCGAATGACAATGTTTCCTGGCCCTAGCAACCACTGCTATCTGTTGAAGAGTAAAAGGTGTAACCAGCAACAATTTCTGTTGAGCTGTCTGCACAAAAATGGGCAAAGAGAAATAAGTCGAGTAGTAGTTGTTGTAAGTTATGTTGCAGCTCTCCTAAACAGGTTGTACATATTTCCTTCAGGCTATCTTTCATGAGGCAGAGATAAATAATAACAAACGCAAATTTCGTTTTTAATGATGTGTTATTCTCTTCTTATTGTTCATATTAAGTGTGTTAGACTCAACAGTAAATAGAATTTAAAGCACTGTTACTGCATATTTAAGTTATTATCCTGTATTTTTGCATGTGTTGACAGTAATACATGTGGTCCACCAATTGGTGTACTCACCCTTGCAAGTTAAAAATTATTGGAGATAATCTGATATTTAGTACTTGGCTTTGGGCCTACCGAAAAATCAATGGCATTCTTTTCTTTGTCTCGAGTGTTCTTTGGTTCAGGCTTTTAATTAACAAAAAAAAAATCAAAATAAAGAAGAAAACCTGTTTTCATGTACTGTTTCAGATTTTTATGCTCGTATCTTGTTTTTTTGAAAAGCTGAGTACAATCTAAATATTACTTTTCCTGATGGGGCTTTGAGGAGAATAGGAAGATGTATGTAAGGGTTCTTCTTAAATTTCTGAAAACTTACTTTAACAAAACTTTTTCAGGGGAAATATTTTTAGAATAAAGATCTTGACACCTTGTAGGTTCTGCTAACAGCTGACTTATGATACGGTTCTAAATGCCTGTGAATGCTATCTGTTGCAATGTTTACATAGATGCCAGTGTTCAGCCATTTTCAGTCACCTGAAAATAAGCTGAAAGTAATAACTAAAAATAAGAAACTAGATTAAAATATATATTATTGTTAATCCTTGATTCGTCCTTTGGTCTAATAAGTTAAGGACATTTTGTGCTTATTCATTGTGGCTGATAATAGTTCTGAAGACATTTACATTTTAGAATAGGAATTTAAAAATATATATAACAGCTGCTTTTTAAATAGAAAGTCTAATTATGCCTATGATTACATTCACTTTTGATTAGTATGCATACAAATCCCTACTCTCCTTGTGTATTCAGGCTGATATGGATCACTGGTCTTAAGATTAAAGTACAAAAGAATAGCTTGACAAGATGCATGGTTAGACTAATGTGAAAAAAATTCTGGATGTAATTTTTGTCCCTAAAAGTTTTTTTTTTTCCTTTTAGTTACACACCGACCTGGATCCTGGCAGCAGCAAAATCAAGTATATTCTATCAGGAGATGGAGCTGGAACAATCTTTGTGATCAATGACAAGACTGGAGACATTCACGCAATGAAAAGGCTTGACCGTGAGGAAAAAGCTGAATACACTCTAACAGCTCAAGCAGTCGACAGGGACACAAACAAACCTCTGGAGCCTCCTTCAGAATTCATTATTAAGGTTCAAGACATCAATGACAATGCCCCAGAGTTTGTTGATGGTCCATATCATGCCACTGTTCCAGAAATGTCTGTTGTAGGTATGTATGTCTAAACATCGATGAACTTTGATTACTCACAGTTTAAGCTATGCCAGTATGCCATTGAGTTGTTGATGAATAATAAGATATTTATGATGTTGTTAGCATTAATTTGCATATTTTCAAATCTCTTCTTGGCCAGGGCTTTCATCTGCAGCACAATAGTAGAGTCCCTTAGTAGTAAGAAAATGACTAACAGATGTATTAATGTGTCTGTCTTTGTCCAACAACACTTTAACGGACTAAATTTATATTCCCCTTATGACGCTGTAGATAGAGTATTGTTATTGAGAAGGATTTATCAAGATTTGTTCCAACATGACACTTTAATCCTATTGATATTTTGTTGATGTTTAATTATCTGTTTGTGTATTTTCATACACAGATGTAGTACTTGCAGTATGTTGATACATACTTATTTGTTTTCCTCTAAGTGCAACTGTAATCAGCCAAAAACATTGACATGAAAGATGCTGTGCCTGGGAATTGATGGTTAGACTCTAGAGTGGACTTAACCAATTAGCCATAGGATTTGCTCGGAAGATGCAAGCAGAAAACGGAGAAAGCTGTGGAAAAAGATGGTGAAAAGGGAAATTAACTGTGTGAAAGGGGAGAAAAAAGAAGGAGTAGGAAATAATCTTCTTAATATGTTTTAGTTATATTTATTCATTTTGTTGGATTAGTGTGCATATATTTCCTCATCGATTAATATATTAGATCCTTTTTTTTTTTTAGTATCGTTTGCCCCTTGTTCTGTATTTGCAAATGTATAACTATGTACTTACACAGGAACATATTTATGTACTCAAGTCCTCACTCCCTGCTGATATACACATATCCAGTGCAGGTGATCTTTAGCTGTCACTAAAGCAAAAGGGAAGTAAACTCATTGAACCAAAAGAGTCAATTTCAGGGTAATATAAGAATTCTATATAAGCAAAGACATCAAAATCTGGCCATGAAATGCAGAGTAAATTTTAATGTTTTCTAGTATTAGGTTCAGGATAATGTGCTTTTCAGCAGTTTGTCTACATCTGTCAAAGCAAGATAATTGAAGGAGTGCTAAGGCACTGTGTAAAATAAAGCAGCACTCTACCAAAAGTTTCAAAAACACCATTATGTCTTATTTAGTTAAAAAGAGGAGGAATGTGAGGAGCCAGAATCATCCTCTCACATTCAGTACAATGAGTTGTACCAGGTCATTTTCAAATGTAAGCGTGGTGTGCTGACTAGACGGTGATACCTGAGGCTTCATTTTATTAATCAACAGATTTTCATATCTTGGCTGCATTGAATTGCTTGTGCTATGTGAATATGTGAAATTTCAAGCCGACATGTCAGTTCTTTTACCAAAATATAGGTTTAATTTGCTAAGTTATTTTTAATTATACAGCAGCACAAACATAATATGGACCTGCTTTCAGAAGATATTTTTGCCAAGCTGTAGGCAAGAAAATAGCTTTTTCTTAAAAAAAAAAAGGGAAAAAAAAAAAAAGAGAGGGAAGGAGGAAGGGAAATTGAAGACAGTTAATCCTTATATGAATGGGACTTTTTTGTATTCTAGGAAAAAAGAAGATGAAAACATACGCAGTCCAGAAAAGATGGTTTCTGCTCACAAAGGCTACTATAAAAACAATTTATATCTGTGCATATGAGCAATCTTTATTATCCTTAGTAATGGCCACTACTCCTAGAGTATTTACTGTAAAGAAGAAGGTTGGGGGGGGGTGCTGGAACACAAAAACTTTGACAGGAAACTAATCAGAAGGTCAGATGAATAAAAATCGAGTGAATTGGTTAACATGGTGTTTAAAAGATGGTAAATATGCAGTAAGAACAAGAGAACAGAAGGTAAAACATTAATGGAAAAGAGGGAAAGTGAAACAATTGAGAAAAGTGTTAGGGTGAAAGAGGAGGGAAAAATGTGAAAGAAGGTCATGAGAGGCGAATTAAAAGATAAAACTTTATTTAGGAAAACTTTATAGTAGAAGATTGTAGAAACAATGACTAATGCCTGGACATAGATGTCAGTTTAGGGAACAGAGAAAGGGGCTGGCTTTTGGAGGGTATTATTTCATCTATTTCCCCTAGCATGGTGGGGGAAAGAGAAACAACAATTCTTCACCGAACTGTCTCTGAAATAATGTAGTTCCACATTTTTACACATTATTAGGCTTCATGGAAGAATTTGTTCCAAAATGAGTTTATTCTAACAACACAAATATAGGTAGAAATTTGTTATAAATTATCTCAGGGGTCTACCGTTCATTACCTTTATTACTGAAACTATGCAAGTTTTGCACATCTACCCCTTATGATCCCTGATCCTTGTATGTCTTTTACGTGCCATTCCTAGCAGTGCATGTTTACAAGCTATTTCTGTAAAGAAGCACAAATGTACACTCCTGCTCTTCTGTTGAAAAACAAAACCTCCTCCTCAGCTACCACTTCAAAACTCAGAGTATGTTTGCCATGGCATTACCTGGGTCATGAGTGACTGTGAAATGCAGCATACGCAGTCAAATCTGTGTCTTAATCTCTGATGGAGCCAAATTTCAAGGCTGCAAAGTTGAAGATGAGAACGTTACCCTTTCACCAATGTTACTGTTACTGTTTCCTTCTGCCTTCCTCATAACCCACAGGTAGCAGCATCAAGAGCTGTACTAAATGATGCTCTGTAAATTATTTTAACTTTAAGTTTTGTTAGTCCTCTTAAAATTACTCTAACTCATCTAGAATGTTTATATGAAAATTCTGTCTCCTTTCAGAGTTCGAGGAATTTTATTTTTTTTTGCCACACTGAGTATTTCACTTCCATCATCCACTTTCTTAATTCCCCTTAAAGAGATCTCCACCTACTGCTAATTTCAGCCTTGACGTTTCTACAACACAGTCATTACTAGACAATGTTTTTATTCACGATAAAACAAAGTTCTACTAAACCTCTTCTTTCCTCAAAATGCTTATAGCAATTCTGACTGCCGTGAAACAGAAGAGAAACTCACATGCGCTATATATATATGTGTGTATATATATATATACACGTACTTATGTAATGAGGATGCAGTACAAGGCATTTTATTTTTGTACCTCTGTGGAAAGCAATGTATAACATACAGATGAGCACATTAACTTTTCATTATTCTGTGGCATCGTGCTGAGTTCCTAACACAATGCAGTTTTTCTAGTAGGTACATCAGATACTGGTCTTATGTTCCTTGCCAGAAGAGCTGTGTTATACGAATGTCGGTGGTATTTTTGTGGGACTATCTAGAACATGAATGTTACACCATGGGGATGTGAAAACTGCAATGTACGTGCAAACTTTCTGTATGTGATATGTATGAATGGTGTGTATGGCAACATGTGAGATTATCACACATCTATGGCCACAATCCAGCCTGTTTGATTTTTCTGTTACGTATCAGTGGTATCTGGAAAATCCTGCTTCCCTACTAAAACAAAAGACAAGGATTTGCATGAGTTTCCTCCCACTACTTGGTGCAAAGCTGATTAGTATTACACTGTATTATCTCCGGTAGGAATGATGCTCACTTTTCAGCTGTCTTCACAGAACATACACCCACATGCGTACTGAGTGGTGTGTATCGTCACTGTGTTCAGAGTTATTTTGAAATAATTTATTTCTCTCTTTGAGGAAACAGAGGAGCACATTCTAGAAAAAGTTTTGAGAACTAAATTGAGTTTTCCCTTATTTCATCCTTGTGCTCTTTTCTTTTTTTACATGATTTCTATATAATCTAACATATTAAACCCTGTTCCGCAACTCCAAAATTATGAATCTGCTTGTGAAAGCTAATAGTTTATATGGAGGATATGTTCTTTGCTGAAACTGAGCACTTTAATCTTTTAATTCTGATATTAATTTTCTTAAGGAATTAAAGATCAAAAAGTAAAATCTGTGGAATCACTTCATTGTAATGGTATTGCATTTCACAAATAAGAAATAATTCAATTTGTCTGTAAATCTTGTTTAATCACTTTTAGTTTTAAATGGACATACTGGGAATGAAACCCAGTTAAAACCTTTTAAAAAGAGATTCAGCTAAGCTTCTGGGATGAAGAACCCCATGACTCTTTTTTTTTTCCTCCTCCCATTTGTCTATCAGCTCTGTATATACGCCTGCAATGAAGACAGCATATTATGTAAATGAATGAGCAATCTTAGAAGATCCGCAAGGGTAATTGGGTCTTGTCTTGTAGCTTATTTAAAGAAAAGGAAAAAAAAACAACAAAACCACCACCAGTCTGTCTGTCCGTCTGTCCTCCCCCTCTCCCCAAATATGTTCTGTTTCTGTTTTGCCTTCTCAGCTGCACACAGATTCATGAATTCCCTGAAAACATGCTGCAGAGGTGGTAATAGGAGCAAAAGTGGATATTGTCTCCCAGCAGTATGGTTAGTTTCAGGATGTTTTTTTCAGGGGAGGAATAAGCGGTGAAATTCTTGATTTCATTTTTAGCAAAGCCAAGTGTGTTTAGACAGCTAGTGTCATGTTGAAAGACAGAACACGACAGAAGTAGAGTGACAAACGTGTTGGTGAAATAAAAAAGGACACAGATGGGAAAAGAACAAAAGCCATAAGGGAAGAGAATTCTCTCATAGTTTGCCTGAATTAAGGTAAACAGTCAAACTTCAGTAATCTCCAAATATTAAGAATTTCCCTGACAGTTATAAAAAACCTCATCATAAAATACATACAGTGGAATTCAGTCTGCCATTGCTCTAGAAATACTTTTGCCTTTAACACTTGAAACTATTAACAGTGTTAAAAAGCTTAGAATAATATTTTTGTCCTTAAATGCTTCCATGAAAACTATTTACTGGGGAGAAAGAGGTCTTTATTGGAAAGGATTTAGACTTTCAGTTGAGTCAAAATATCAATTTCCAATTCTGGCACATGCACGTCTACTTAGCAATGTTTTCATTTGGATCAAAGTTTGCCCTTGATTACTCCACTGTAAATAAGAAATCATTCAAT